TCAAATCTAAGTTAAGTCCATATTAGAGGTATTATTTTATCAAAATCTACCACTTGTATTAGTTTAGTAATAAATATGGTCTTAGCAATTATATTAACAACTTTGCCAGTTTTTTGGGTTTTTTTTGTTTTGAGACGAAATGTCACTCTGTCACCCAGGCTTGAGTGCAATGCTGTAACCTCAGCTCACTGCAGCCTCTGCCTCCCAGGTTCAAGCAATTCTCCTGCCTCAGTCTCCTGAGTAGCTAGGATTACAGGCACCTCCCAGAAAGCCTGGCTAGTTTTCATAATTTTAGTAGAGTCAGGGTTTCACCATGTTGACCAGGATGGTCTCAAACTCCCAACCCCAGATGATCTGCCCGCCTCAGCTTCCCAAAGTGCTGGGATTAAGGCTTGGGCTACTGTGCCCACCCTATGCTTGCCAATTTTTAAACAAATATTTCTAATATAGAAAACCATTTTGTAACTATCTAAGATTTTGATAGCCATCTTATTTCCAGCACACAAAATTCTACAAAATTACTAACCTTCACAGAAGAAAATAAAACCAAATACTAAAAAATCAAAACTATTTCCATGTGTAGAACTAATGGAATCAAAAATAATTTCTATCTCTGAGAATAGGAAAAAAAATGTACCATATAATAAAGACTATGTTTATCCTAAGAATATTCTTTTAAAAGTAATATCATAATCAAGAGATGCCTTTTTAGTCTCTTACTGATAATTAATTTTCAGCTAATATAATATTTAGTGTTACATACCCTGGAGCCACAACTTAATTCACATGTTGTGAAATTCTTTCACATATCCAAATGCGAAACTCTAAACATGGAGAAAGAATCTTTAACTTTGTTAAAACTGAAAGAAAATGGGAAAAATATTTCTAGCACTACTATAATCTTGATAAAGTGATCTTAAAAATGTTGAAAACACCAAAATATTAGATTCTATTCCCAATAAAATCAATGCTGGTAATTATTTTTTCATTCATGTATCCATTCAACAGATGATTATTTAGTGCTTACCATGTGTTAGACATGGAGCTATGCATTTTTTTAGTGAAAATTGACATGAATTCAATGTCTAGTTATATGAATAATTAACAAAGAACCATCAGACAGTGCAGACTTTTTTATATGACCTGAGGTTAAAATTCTTTATTTCTTAATTTATTCATTCATTATTTTTTGTGTGCCCACTTAACAGAGATGCATTTTAAAATATAAAGTGGCTTCGTTGCCATTAAAAAGATTAAAATCATGGTAAGAAGAAATTTTATTCAGCCTTGCATACAGCATTGAAGACTTAGTCTATGATTATTTAGATATACCACACTGCCCTGGTAAATGTAATGAAGTCATTAATTACATTGTCTAAAGAATCTAGAAGATTAACCTGCCAATGCTAGAGAATTAACCTGCCAAATGCTAGAGAATTAACCTGCCAAATGCTAGAGAATTAGGACTGTTAGGGCAACTAAGAATATGGAGACACAAGCATGGTAATAAAAAGTGCTGGTGGATAAATAATCTATTTACCAGATTTTTTTTTTGCAGCAAGTAGTCGTGACAAATTCTGGCCAATAAAATATAAACAGAAATATTATATATGCCTTCCAGGAAAATTCTGACATCTTGTATTATTAATGTTAGTAACCATTTAAGATACCAAAATAGGTTTTGCAGAATAAAGAGACAATTAAAATAAAATGGTTTAAAGTACAGAATTTTCAGTAATACAAATAGTTCAAGAATAAAAAATATTTGTATTTGTTTACATAAGACAAAAATGCAGTATGTGCATTTTCTGTGCTGTTTCCTTTGTTATATAATATAAATGTTCTCCAATAGCATTGTGTTTATCATGATTAATACGAAATGATGGAACACTCAAACACTGATATTTGATGGATACAATTTCAAGTCTACCTGTTGGAAATGCAGGACCTATACAAAGAGTTCTCAGCCCCTCACTGCCTAAGAACACTGGGAACAGGGCAAGGAAATTCTATTAGTGCTTTGAGGTTCAAATTACAGAAATGCTTACCCAAAGTGGTTTAAGCAGTAAGAACACATACTATTTCATATAACAAAACTCTGGAGGTAGTTGGTTCCAAGGTAGGTTAAATTAACAACCCAATGAAGTGAAAGTTCTAGCTCAAAGTCTTGTGATCCTCTGAGCTTTTCCTCATGCTCTCAAGATGGCTGCAGCTACTCTGATCATCAGGGCCTCACATAATAATGTCTAAAGGCAGAAACAGAAACACTGTCTCAGGAAGCCTCACCACACTTCCCTTTAAATTCCTCTAGACAAGATACCCTTGCCTGAACTAATCAATTGCCTTACTAATGCAATTAGTAAATGCGGTGGCTCAAGCCTGTAATCCCAGCACTTTGGGAGGCTGAGGCAGGTGGATCACGAGGTCAAGAGATGGAGACCATCCTGGTCAACATGGTGAAAACCCATCTCTACTAAAAATACAAAAAATTAGCTGGGCATGGTGGCATGTGCCTGTAATTCCCAGCTACTCAGGAGAACCCAGGAGGCCCTGAACCCAGGAGGCGGAGGTTGCAGTGAGCGGAGATTGCGCCATTGCACTCCAGCCTGGGTAACAAGAGCGAAACTCCATCTCAAAAAAATAAAATAAAATAAAACATTCTTTATGCAAATTGCCAGGGTCACCACCTGCAGGGCTCTGTCCTGCAGATCATAACTCAACAATAGATGAATAATTCACTCAGACACAATATTCAGTGAACAACCGTGGCCACTCACAGATACTCAAGGAGAGTGCTGTAAAGAGATAGCAGCTTGCGGCCACAACACACTGGCCTCCCCAGCCTTTATTCAGCACACATTAAATGACAAAGGCTTTGAGTCAACACCACTAGATGGTGAAGATTAAAGGCCAGGTTCTGAGGTCTAAATCAAACACCATTAGCAAATAATATCCTTAGTTGACCTCCCCCTGAGAGAGCCATGCAAAATGAGCAAGGGTTAGTTTATAGGACCACATGAGTAAACAAGTTAAGTAAACTTCCTACATTACTTTGTTTCTACTCTAATTTATTTAACTAAGGGGACAAAGCTGCCTTCAGCTAAGTATTATAATAAAACCCTTAAGCCTTCCAAAAGGGTTTGTGTATATTGTCTATAACTAAAATTTATCCCACCAGCCTGACTGAATCCCCACACGAGATGTTTATTACAGCTTCATTTATAATTGCCAAAACTCTAAAGCAACAAAGATGTCCTTTGGTAAGTGAATGAATAAATAAACTATGATACATCCAAGCAATGAATTATTATTACTAAAAATAAGTGAGCTATCAAACCATGAAAATACATAGAGAAAACTTAAATGAACACTATTAAATAATTGAAACCAGTCTGAAAAGGCTACAAACTATAAGATTCCAATTATATGACATTCTTGAAAAGACAAAACTGTGAAGTCAACAGAGAGATCTGTGGTTACCAGGGGTTAGGGGGCAGAGAGAGATGAACAGGAGGAGCACAAAGGATTTTAGGACAGCAAAAATATTCTGTATGATACTTCAGTGTGGATAATATCATTATAGATTTGTCCAGACCCAAAGAACATACAACATCAATAGTGAGCCCTAATGTACCCTATGGACTCTCAGTGATAATGATGTGCCAGTGTAGGCTCCTCAGTTATAGCAAATGTATCATTCTGGAGGATGTTGCTAATAGGGGAAGATGTGTACATGTGGGGGCAGGTGTATATGAAAAATATCTGTATCTCCAATTTTGCTGTGAGCCTATAACTAACTGTTCTAAAAGAAAAAGTCTTTAGAAAAAATAAAGCATCCTTTATTTTAAAAGAAAAGGGACCATAAATAATGATGAAAACATGAAAAATTATATTTTACATAGGTACTGTCTCTGAGACAGACTAATATCTTCAGGAATGTTTATTAACTGTGATATTTTACTTTTAAAACTTTAATTTTTACTTTTAAATAAAAATTATTAAATTATAAATTATTAATATAAAATTATAAATTATTAAATTTAAAAGTATTTTTAAATGTTTAAAAATTAATTTTTTGTTTCAAATTAAATTGTTAATAATCAAAATATATTTGTGCATAGTAAATAAAATTGAACATGTGCGTGTGTCTGTGTGTATATATATTATATGTGTATCATAAATCTCACAACTCAATAAGACTCTCCTTTTTGTTAATAACAGTGCTGTGGTTATCACTTAGTAAGTTCCAACCAAATGCCATGTTCTTCGTATATAATAAAGTTATGTTATCAGTATATTTACTTCACATGCAGTCAAATTTTAGCTAAGAATAAATGACATTATGTTCCAGGAACTTTCCTAAGTACTTTACACATATTTACTTAATCCTGGCAATTTCTTGTGAGGTTAGTATTATTAGTATCCCTATGAATATTAAGGGTTACAGGGTGGTCTTAGTAGCACCAAGCCTCATATCCTCCCAGAGAAAGTGCAAAGCATGGAATAAGGGAGATGCTTCTTGTGAGAAGTTCCTAGAAGTCTTCTCTTCAGTTCCCATGAGCTAGCAGTGGAGGTGGTGCAAGGAGAGCTGAGAAAGCAAAGGTATGGGAGGTGGACTCTGCCAATAAGGAAGGGTGAGAGGAGGAACGCCCTTAGGGCAAGTACAGTTATATCAGTAGCTACTGCTTCATAACAAACCACTCCCAAAACTGTTTGAAACTGTGTATCGTTTCTAAAGGTGCTATAGGTCACCTGACCTGTGTCAGGTTCTGGTATCTTGGCTGGGGTCACTAGTGCGTTTGCATTCCATTGCTGGGTCAGCCTTTGTAAAACTAGTAGAGAACTACTGGTAGTCCTGGATCAATCTCCTTTGAAGCATTTCTCTTTATTCTTTTTCCATTTTCATTATTTGGTGCTAGAGCCAGATATTGAGGTCACTATGTCACTATGAGGTTCAGAATTCTACCTACCTCATAGTAGCAATTCTGGGTGAAGTACATGTTAAAGAAGAAGCACATCTTTAGTTTCCAGTACCTGGCATTTGGTCATGGGGTGGCTGCTTTACTCTGTGAAACAAGCAGAGTCCCAGTCCACTGTCAAATTACAGCTGCTAATCTTGAGGTATTTATGAAGGACTCCTTTGAAGGTTCTCTACTGAGTTTCCCTAAGGAACTAGAATATGTAAGTAAATTACTGTCCAGAATGGAGGCATACTATGGTAATCACAATGAATAGGCAGCATATTCCTTATGAAATTCATATCATTTGAAGGAAAAATTAGGTTAGTAACTCTACCACAAAATGTGTTTATCAGTTATGGAATTTTTTCTCACTTCTTCAGTCCATTGTATCATGCTTTAGAATATGGTCATGGCTGTTATTGGGGTTATCCTCATCTTTATTCCTGAACAGTCTCTACCTTTGGTGGCACTGCTTATATTATACTGATGTAGTTTTGATTAAGTTTTACCATTGATACGGCTCTGATGAGTGGAGGGACACCAAGGCTCTTGTCTTGCCTGAATTAGATAAAACAACGTGGACACACATGGATTAGTTTTAAGGAGCGGAGAGTTTAACAGGCGAGAAAGAAAAGAGAAGGCAGAAGGAAGAGGCTCCCCAATACTGAGACATAGGGACAGGGGCTCCAAAGCTGAGAGAGGAAACCCCAAATGCCACAGATACCAGCCAGTTTTATGAGTAGGCTGGAGAAGGCAGTGTTTGATTTGCAAAGCTGGCCCAGGGATATGTGGGGGCAGCCATGTTGCTAGCAACATGTGGGGGCAAGGGTAAGAAGGCAGAGGGAATCACCATGTTTGGGTGAGCCCAGTTTCTAATGGCCTGCATTTGTATATCAAAGGTTGCTGTCCTGGCTCTAAGAGCTGCTTTGAAAATGAAAACTTCTCAAGGACCTCTGGTCCTCTCTATCTGCCTAAAACAATTACTTCATAACTCCTACAACACCACTAGGCATGGAAATAATTTGGAGGTGGAGACATTGGCAAATTAGTATACATGCAGTTAATCTCCCTTCTTGGTAGGTATGAGAAAACTGACCCTTGAAAGTGAAGAAAGAAAAGTGACTTGTCCAAATTAAACAGCCAACAATGAGAGTCCAATCCCTTTGGACTTGTTTTCTCGCCTATAAAATGGGTGAGACCATATCCGAGGAACATCCTGTCTTTGGCAAACAGTACAAAAGGGGAGTTTGATAAACACATTTGTCTTCATGAATATCCAATCCTACTGGTATTTACGATCTGGATACATACTTCAGTCTGGGGAGAAGAGAACACTGTAGAGATGCTCAATCTAACAGAAAAGAGCAAGTAAAAGTCTTATAACTTGTATGAATTAGTCTTCATCAGGGGTGGGGAAATGATTTCGGCCAGGAGAGGTGGGAGTTTGGTGGGGAGAGTGAGGATATTGCAGCCACAAGAAGCTTGCTCTTGGATATATGCTGTTCTGATTGTAGTAGCCATCCTTAGTAACTGCTTACCTACCTAGGAGTTTTAGTGAACAGAACCTAATTAAAATATACCTTCCTATATAGCCTCATATTATCCTTTTAATAAGTTGCCATTGAAAACTACTCAGAAGATAGTTAATGTATTTTAAAGATAATAAGCATTTGGGAATCTGGATGAAAAATTTTAGTTTTAAATGTAATATCTTCTGAGAAAAGATAACTGATTCTTGGTCATTGTTTCAGTGATCTGAAAGAATCCATGCTCTTGGGAGACAAATTGTGAATCCAAATCATAGATTATAAAAACAAGAAAGGACCTTAAAAAGTATCCAGGTTCAAACCCCTGCTTTTAGTGATAAGAAATTAGGCTCGAAGAAGAGCATAATACACAGGAACAATTTCACGGATTGCTGTTTGCTCCTTTTTCATTTATTAACCTACTGAATATTTGCTGTGTCTCAGCATTGTTGCTGACAAAGATATAATCATAAACAAAACCCAGAATAGCATAAAAGCATGTTCACAATGCCTTCCTGACTTTTTTCAGGCTTTTATTCCCCCATTTCCCCAAGCTATCAGCCTCACCAGAAACCTCAGACACATCCTGTTCTTATCAGCCTCACTGTCTTTGTTCGTGTTTTTGGTCCTTTTAAAGTAGTTGATTACAACAGCTAATACAAGTACATGGTAGAAAAATCCCAGAGGTATAAAAGGACAAATACAATGAAAATCTCATCTCTCTTTTGTCTGTGTTTCCCAGTCACTCACTTCCCCTTCCCAGAGATAACCACTGTTTCTAATGTGTATTGTATCGTCATGGAGTTAGCCCATGGATATGTAAATATACATGCATGTATAATTAGTAGCCTTTTTTCTCACCAAATGTTAACATGTGTTGCATGTTGTTCAGTACCTTTTACTTTTGAGCTTAAATTTGTGTGTTTCCTTCTAAATTTGATGCTAATTTTTTTTAGATTAATAAGGTCTCTCTTTACCTGGGCTTTCGTATACTCAGATGATTTTGAACTCAACCTGGGTCCTCTATTAGATTATATGCTTTAATTGTATTATATAAAAATTATATTCTTTAATTGAATTTATGTAATTCTCTAATTAATAATTTAATTAATTCATCTTGTCATTCAGAGGTCTTCAGAGTCTGATTACTTGCAATCTATAACCTGATTTCATGCCACTGTCCAACTCACACCTTCTATCATTCAGCCCATTTCCTTATTTCCCCTTGAACGCTGATGCATATTCCTGCTTCTGAGACTCTGCTAGTTGTGTTCCTCATAGCATTCCCTTCTTCTCTCTCATTACTACATTCTTTGAGACTTAATTCAATCCTTATCTCCTCCATGAAGCCTTCACAGCTATTCCCACTCACATTTGTCTCTTCCTCTTTCATATTCTTGTTCCATTTTGACATAATCATACTATCCTTTATTTCAGCTCACTGGGACTCAGCCATTACTCAGATTGTTGCAAGCTATATTTTCCTGGAAAGTTAATGTTTGCAGAAATCATGTAATCTCTTTGGATCTGTTTTCTCACCTATAACATGAGAAAAGCAGTATGATGTACAGCAATTTCATGGAATTTGGAGTCTGACAGATTAGGGTTGTATTCCAAAGTTTGCCTCATATTCTGTCCCTAGGGGCTATTAGAAAATGGCTCTAAACTCTGTTTTATAAAATCTTCAAAATGTAAATAACTCCTTCCTTTGGGGGCATCTAATAGCATAATTAATATAAAGCTCTGGACATACAATAAATGCCCACTTTTTCATGCATAGTATTTAGTTGAGTGATACTGATGTAGAAGTTACCATTAAATATTTTACTGAGTATTGATTATGTGTACAAGGCATTGTATTGGGCACTAAGGTATGAAGATTTTCATGCTTAGCACCAGGAACTGGCACGTGGAAGATACCCAGAAAATGTTGATTCAACTCCTAGATGAGAAAAAGTCCCTCAAATGCAGGATCCAATATGTTAGAACACAGATATGTACATTTGTTTTTTTAAAAGTCTATAAAATTAATAGCTTCTAAATGTATCACTAAGTATTGCTTTAAAGTTCAACATAATCTTTTGAGGAAATTATGAGCCTCAATATATAAATACAAAGTATTCAAAATATGTAAATAATAATTGTTCTTAAGTTATGTAGATGTAAAATACTCTCCGAAATTTTTAGGACAAATTACATAAGAGTCCAAAACAGTTGCCAAGGCCCTGAGACAGGAGTGTGGTTCTCATATTGAAAGAACATCAGAAAGACGAGTGTCGCCGGGGCAAGTTAAGTGAGAGAGAAAATGAAGTTAAGGGGGATTGTGGCCCTGTTTCCCAGTTTCTATGGGAATTCAGAGTCTAACTTCAGGAATGGCTTATTCCAAGTTGTAAAACTATCCCATCATGAAGATAGGATAAAGTTTATTTTTCCATTGGGGAAGGCCAATTTTCCTTTGGGTAAGGCCAAACACAGGTGGCCAATTATCCTCTCCTGGCACAGCTTTTTAACACTTTCCCGCTTTTGGTTTCAGAAAAGTTGAACTCCAGACCTTTCTCCTCTATTGAAATAGATTTGAATAAAGTCTTTCTAACCTGTGTAACTTAGTATAGTGTCATTTTTTCCTTGACACAGTGATGATGCTAAGAAGTGGTGGGGTCACTGGATGTATTTTGAAGACAGGATTTTCTGATAAATTAGATGTAAGCTGTGAGAAAAATGGAAGACTCAAGAATGATGTCAGGCCATGTGTGGTAGCTCATGCCTGTAATTCCAGCACTTTGGGAGGCTGAGGCAGGCAGATCACTTGAGGCCAGAAGTTCAAGACTAGCCTGGCCAACATGGCAAAACCCCATCTCTACTAAAAACATAAAAAATTAGCCAGTCATGGTGGCATGCACCTGTAGTCCCAGCTACTTGGGAGGCTGAGGTTGGAGAATTACCCTAGCTCAGGAGAGAGCCAAGATCACACGACTGCATTCTATCCTGGGCAATGGAGCGAGACCCTCTCTCAAAAGAAAAAAATATAAAGAATGTTGTCAAAGGAGTCCTTGAACAAATGGATAAATAGAGTTGACACTGACTGAGATGGAGAACACAATGAATATGGTATATGAGGGCAGTGGTTTGGAAAGTTCAGGTTTGAATATGTTGAGTTTGAGATGTCTTTTAGATTTTACTTTAGGGATTTAAATATTGAATGTATGAATTTGGAGTTAAGAAGTTCGATCAGAACTAAAGACATAATTGTGGGTATTTTATGGTTTGAATGTTCGTTCTCTCCAAACTCATATTGTAATGTAATTCCCTATGTGCCAATATTGAAAGGTGGGACTTTTAAGAGGTAATTGGGTCATGAGGGCAGAGCCCTCCTGAATAAATGAAACTATTCGTGAATTAATAGATTAATGGGTTATCACAAGCTTGTGACTGGTGGCTTTATAAGCAGAGGGAAGAGAGACCTGAGTTAGCAAACTTGGTCCCCTCACCATGTGATACCCTGTACTGCCTTGGGATTGTATGGAGAGTCCCCACCAGCAAGAAGGTGATCACCAGATGTGGGCTCTCAACCCTGAACTTATCAGTCTCCATAACTATTAAAAATCAGTTGATTCATATTGTGTATGTGTGTGTGTGTGTGTGTGTGTGTGTATATATATATATATATATATATATATATATATATAGAGAGAGA